ATCGAAGGTGAAAAAGGTTCGTTGGCAGAATGCAGAGAGCTGCATTTGGTGCTAGATTTTTAGGGGCCCTGTCGTTTCCTCGTACTTTTCTTCCAGGCGTTTGCGTAGCGCTTCGCGCGCCAAGTCTGGTGAAATGGACATGAAAATTGAGACAACGTCGAAGATTTGGTCGGGTCGAATAGGTTTTCCCCGAATGTCGGCAAGGAAGTGGGAGGCCGAACTAACTGACGTCACAGAGCCCTCTCGGAGAAAATTGAGTTTTCGGGACATCCGTTTGGCTAGATTGTATATGAGGCTGCCTTTCTGGGCAACGATTGGCCGCAGAGTAACGTTGGGTTTGTGGCTTTTGGGTAGTCCATAGAAACTGGGTAATGCCGTATGGGTTGGCTTTGTCTGGCGCCATTCATCAAGCTAGATTACCTTGTTGCGCCGGAGTCGGCTTAAGAGTCCAGTCAGCTGTCCAATCATCGATTTAGCCTGCGAGGCGGGTGCGGACTTGTAGGAGAGCTTGTGCCTTCTCACGAGATGTTTATGGGTGGGGCAGCACGCCGGAGAGTTAACTGACGGAATTCAGGAAAAAACGGAAGACATTCGGTGCCAAAAACAATATCGCGAGTAAAATGATGAATGCATGCAAGCACGGTATCCAGCTGGAAATTCCAAGACGTTTCATCTTTAAAGAATGCCTGACCATCGAACAATTGAGCCTATCTTCTAGCGGACATTTTCGTCTTTCCTCAGTTCATGCTCACTTGAACTCCATTTTGTGTTTCTTCGCTCTTTGGTACATTCAAGTACATTCATCAGCACACGATCCGCAGCCTGCCGAAAGCTAATTGGGGTTCTTCAACCTACCGTTGAGAAGATGCCTGCCTTTTAGGGGAAGCTTTATGAGTAAGCTTTCCCGGCCTATCCTTTAGATTTGTCAGGCTTTTCTTAAACAAAAGTCAAAACCACCAGACATATATCCATTTATTGTTTCCAAAGGTGAGAATATGAGTTTGGCCGATCTGGCACTCTTCCCCTTCTTTAATGCGTGGGAATACGTGATGAGTCGGCTGATGGAGTTGGACGAGGCTTCCGGTGACAATGTCGAGGCCTACGCATCTCAGTGGCCTGCGGTAGTAAGGTACCGTCAGCTAATGAGCCAGATGCCATTCATCAGGAAGACCTTCATCGAAGACAATGATTCCGCTAAACTTATGGATAATTTCAACGCGGATAAGCCTGATGTAATCTCCTAGTCTCCTGCACCTCCCCATCGCACTTGCGTGCGCGTATTGCCCATCTTTGTGACATCGACATTCTCCTACACTGCGTACTTGTTGCTTTCCAATCTTTTCATCTATTGCTTTGCTCAGAATTCTCTCGTGCAGCGATCACCATTTGTGCTGACTAGTTTGAATCAAATATCTCCAACACATATGGATTGTTTTTCATATCCGCTGGACCATTGACTTTATTGAATTAAATTCCTCTGACGTATACGGATGGCTTTCTGCTTCTACCAATCACAATGGCCGGACGCAGCGAGGTATGCTCCTTCACTATTATACATGCGAATTTTGGCCTGCGTTTAGACGATTTGCAGTTCCAAACGGTTGGTAAACATTACTCTAGACATGCTTTTGCCTGCTTGCGGTTGGCTTGCATAAGGTCACAAAGTTTTATTAGGACATGACTACTGGCAATATTTTGAATTCACCAAATGTACACAGACACAGGCTGTCTGTGAGATGGGATGACGGATTATCGCAAATGACTGTCCACGCCCACAAGCAGCGGAGCCTGGGCCTCCGATGAGAGTTCGGTCGATCGATACATCGATCTGGCACCGACGTACGGAGCACTGCGCTGACACCAACGGGCTGGCATTGCTGATGTTTGATTAGTTCCTACGCCATAACTGATGCTTTTCGGTGCGCCATTTTACGTCAAGTAATGGACTGCTGTACGAGTTCGAAAGCTCGGATGAATAAAGAAACGGTTCTGGCACTCGAACAGCCTGCTTATTCCCTACCTATACCTAAGATTCTCTGACGGTTTTCAGTGACTAGCTTTGCACGCAGCGATTAGCAACTTGTCTGGTAGTTCAGCATTGACAAAATTTCGCTTATTTTCAATAAATCCCCTGAAAATACCGCCATTTTTCGATTAATCAAAATGAAGAGGCGCTAGAAGATACCATACTAGCAGCACAGATAACAACAAAAAGCCCAGCCACGCGTGATTCGCTGACGTGTTGCCGCAGCATGACGCAGTTGCGAGGAGTTTGCATCATCAATTGGTCCCCCAGCATTCCCCGTCTGTTTTTTGATAGATACTCCAGTTTAGAAATTGTTGCGTTTTTCTCATAAATTAACTGTTAACTCGGAGTAGATTAGTTTATACTAAGGTCTTTAGCTGCAGGCCGAGATTTGATGGATGAATATTTGGACCGAATTCCATCAGCCACAGCGGATGACCGCGTGCCATTCATTAAATGCCGACAGGCAGCTATTGGTATATTTTAGCGTTAGAACATACCCTGCTAACAGCACAGGAGACCCCTTAGAGCTGTGCTATGCGGCGGCAGAATATCGACGAAACACGCGTCTGGGCCTTAAGCTAATACCTATAATGTTAGTGTGGTATATTTCAATGCCAAAATATACTACTAGCTGCCTGTCGGCGGTTAATGAATATTACGCGCTTATCCCGCGGTGGCTGATGGACTTCGGCTCCAAATTGGCAGTTAATTTCTGAGGAAATTAAAAAGCAACAAAATGAAGACGAATCGCACAGAGAATTTGGAGACATTGTGCCATTGTAAACATCGTCCCTATTTGAATCCGAATTGGTGAACAATTGGGCTTTTTGCAATTTTTTGCCTCCTTAATGTTGGTAAAGTAATTAGGGTCAACTGCGTTCTCTGTGCAAGCTGCACGCGAATGCGCCAACAATGACCTCGTGTCAATACTGCGGTCTGGGTTTTTGAAAACTAGACTTAGTACTGCTCTTCCGTCGCTAATCTTGTCTGCGTCTATTAAATATGATTATCATTGCCTGATTTTTTGTAAATTTTGGCACGCCGTACTTGGAAGGATGTCAAACGATTGTCCAATTGCCGAAGTAATATGTGAGACGCCGCGGCCCTTGGCATTTCTCGGACAAGAACAGAGACTCAAACTGCCTTAATCACGGGAAATGACTCTACCTGTGTTGGTCCCCCTAGACGTTACTTGGACTATAATACTTTACGAAGTGCATTTCCCATAGTGCTCTAGCAAGTTTAAGTGTGGCCAAATGAACTAAACGCCCTATTTACGTTAGTCTGTTTTATCGGATGCCGGACTGTTGTGCGCTAACACTGCAGAATAGCTGGGGTCTCCGTGAAACGAGATGAGATGTTGGATGAGTAAAGGTAAATCGCAACCGATACAGTGCCGAAGATAGCTGTCAAGCATTAAACCTGGTAGGGGCTACCAAACATGGACGATGTAGAATGTCAATAAGCCAGATGGCGGGAAACCCTCCAGCATTTGGCATTAACATGCCATTACCGTCCAGGGACTAGTCACGTGAACGCCTATTCATTGAATCGCCACTACTGCGTGGCGGTGTTAAGTGCAAACCAGATACAAAATAGTGTAGCTGGCGTGAAGTCACGTGTTATCACGGGACCGCGACACAATGTACCGGCTCCGACACGGTCATTGCATAAAACCGCTAACGTGCAGGCCGACAGCGGTACACACACGACGACCTCGGAGGATCAAACGAGAGCGCGCATGGACGGTGCAATCAGCTGACCAATCCCTTCAGCACAAACAACGTACACCTCAACAACAACAACAACAACAACAACGACAACTACCGTGTTGTTGTGTAAAGCATCTCGATCGGTTCGGTCCTGACCGATCTTAATCCTGATTTAATCCACATGACCCAGGCCAAAACATAAATATCGGTCAGGCAGCAATTCTGCTGGCCACATTTATACTAGCGGCTGATCGTAGTATCTAACACGTGCTATACCTGCGCGTAAATTGAAGCGCCTCATCTCTCTTTAATCTAGCCAGACTTCTGTTAACCTCGTAATGATTTACTTTAGACTGGTAAGGGCTGACCTTCCAGGATTGTGGATCGTAAAGCGGCAAGGGTAAATTTCCTACCGACGAAATTGCGAATTCTATGGCTCGACTGAAGAAAGATAAGTTCATCACCGTTAAATACTGGCATATAGGAGAAACCACAGAGGCAGCTACTGCACTCGAAAGCACGCAAGCCAGATGTTTTCCTACGGCCAATCGTTCCACTACGAAGCATACCCGTATACGGGCCTGCAAACTGGTCAAAATAAGGTCAAAACCGAGCCAAATGAGACGACGGTGTCATCTAATGTCATCACACTCTTCATGTCCATACTACAATCCATTAGCGACCCTCTACCTAAGATTTATGATGGGAGCGATTTTCAGTCCCAAGTTCAACAATTAATAGAGTCCGTGGGGCACTGCCTCATTTCATGTTGACCTTATAAAATAGTACAATAATTGTGGGACAAAAACTCCATTTGTTGATACAATTCGGGTCGACGTCTTTTAACTCATGGGTCCATTCTCCCTGCTGTATCAGATGATACCACTAGAACGCAGTTGCTCTAACCATTTAGCCTTGATTTTGCACACAAATCCATCTGTTGCTCACTTTTCCAAGCATTTGTACGGGCTTTAATTTTTAATTTGTTGTCTATTACCCGCTACGCCGTACACTCCTAAGCTGGCATCAGATTCGCTTTCATTGGCTGTTTAAGTTCTTTTCCCGGACATGAAGTGTGGGCGGCTGTGGCCAACCAATAAAGTCAAAAATATCGATCAACGTCACGGAGGTCGAGTGATGCGCGTGGACCGAGGCCGTCACAAGTGTACCTAAGGCTCACTGTAGCAGCCTGGAATATTTGTTGCATTTTAGACAATCCGCGGAGCAGTCGACTGGAGCGAGGACGGCGCTAGTCGGTCATGGACTGGCACTCTGCAAGGTGGCGATCGCTGCTCTCAGTCAGGACCCGCTCTTCAGAGCAACACCAACAGGCGAATGTGGGTTCCGGCTACACATTCTTCTGGAGCGTTCGCCTAAAGGCAGGGAGAGACGACGCAGACGTCGACTTTGCCATCCGAAACGACATTTTGGCGCGAATGTCTTGTCTGCCACAGGGCATCAACGACCGACTGATGCCTTTGCACCTGACTCTTCGGGGATCAGAATTCGCCACCGTCATCAGCGCCTACGATCTCCCAATGACCAATTTTGACGAAGAAAAGAAAAAATGCTACGAGGATCTGCATGCCCTCCAGGACTGGTTTGACGAGAACGACACAGCCATCAGCAAACTGCTCACTGGAATGAACAGACTGCTTGTAGCCTACATTGACCGCACGACTGGCGCGAACAAGGCTGCCTTCTACCGATGTCACCACCCCATTTAGCAACGGTTGGGAAAAATGCAGGTCGCCTCGATCGCAATATCGATTCCTCAAACACCTGAAAACGCTCCCACCTCCAGCCCTAACAACTCCCCATCCGCCAGCACAACCACGGCTAGCAGTCCTACCATCCCAACCCACTCTACAGCCCCAAACTTGTCTTGTCTGCGTTGCCAACGCACATGTACATCACGCATCAGCCTGGTTAGTCATTTGCGGATCCATCGTTCGGAGGCTGACGAATCGGTGACAGGAGCACCATCATATACACACCGCAGCCACTTCCACCGACCTAAATGTCCACGCCTATTCTCTCACCACATGCGCCTATTTGGTCACATGCGTGTTCATGAAAACCTGCGGTCAAATACAGCAGAAATGATCAAATCAGCACGCATTACCTCATCAACACATGCACCTCGCATACGTCTCTCTAAAATCCCGCAACCACCAGCATTTCTCACGGAAGTGAGAAGGGTGTTTTTTGACCCCTTCCTGCATGTGGCTCTTTTGTTGCATGTGAGATCTGAGGGCTCTAGAACCTATGCGTATGCATAATCCTGGTGTGTGCGTCTGGAGACCAGGTCGGTGCCTGACGCATGCAGATGAGCCCTATAGCTCTGTCCGCGTCTGGGTCCAGTTTCGGCATCTGACAGACTTGGACAGTAGTCTGGTGCCTGAGAGGGGGAAGAGTGCGTGAGGTCGACGCCATTGTAAACGATCTGACGTGCGTGATGGTATCATGGTGCGCTGAAAGCCGCTGCTTGGAAGGTTGCCAACTGAAGGGATAACTTGCACCTCTCAGTCGGCTCTGTGTGTGTGTGCCCCCAGAACGGGCCACGTGTTAGGCGCGCTGGACCAACACGGGGGCCACATCGGATTCTGGCAGGCGCTATCTGTGCGCAATAGCTAATGCCAACATGTAGGGGTGCGCTGGCAGTCCCTGTTGTCGACAGCCTTCACACAATTGGGATCACTGCCACGCCCTCCAATGCTGTGGCGGTAAAAATCCTGGTCACTTGTGTGGGGACCAGGGGCTGCGGAGTGGAGCGCCAAGGCGAGGATCCGTCCGGGCCATCCACCTGCAGCCTCCCTCGTCTCCGGTCTTCTTGACTCTGTCTTGACACCGGGCTCAGACGGGGGAGGAGAAGAGAGTGTAGGTAGATGCAGCGCAAGTCTACTGGCACTATAAACCCCTGCGCAAGTCACCGTCCCTGCTCCCAGAATGCAGCTGTGGGGCACACGGTAGACATCATCGAAATCGATGGTCGAACTGTCGTGCGTGTGTGTGTGTGTGTTTGGAGTGGCAGACTGAGAGTCAGCCTGCAATGACTCCTTCTCTGTGTGACCTCCATGCTACTCCCACTCTGTGGGATCCAAGTCGCGTCAGCAACCAGCGTCCTGTTCCACCTCTGGCCCTCATCACTCTGTTTCGACACGGGGTCCAGATGGAGGAGGAGAGTGTGTCGTAGATGCTGTTCAGGTCTACTATCACTATAAACAAATTCATGCCCAAGTCACTGTACCCGCCGCCACTCTGCAGTAGAACACACGGTGGACATCGTTGAAATCGACGGTGGGGCCGTCGACGACGGGCAGCTGCTACGTCATGATCCTTTCTAGCGGGACAATTAACCCCGACAAATCTCGTCTCGCTTTTAGTGTTGTTTGAACCTGTCGATCGTTAAGTGACTCGCGATCACGGAACCAGCCGCCAAGCCTGCGACAACCACCGTAGAATCTAATCGAATTGCCCACTTTCTACATAATCGATTAAATAGGCATCTTTAACACAGACTTCTTCCAGAATGTGCGATTCCCGGATAGAGCGGGGAACTACTGACTTAGCCTTCGGGATCCGCCAACTGCGGAGAAAAGTGTCAATAAGTGGAGACCGATCTCTGCGCAACTTTTGGTGACCTAATATGGGTTTTCGGCAGCATGAATCAAGACGGATTCCAAAATATTATAAAGACACTGTCCAGACAGCTGAAGTATGATATGCGTCACAGAAGGGGGGTCAGTTCCGGAAGCTGTTGGTGTGACAATTTGAGGGGAGTAGGGTTGCATGCTCGCTGTCACTCCTCTCAGCCTTTCATTTTCCGTCACACCTGAGAGTCGGAGTGGAATAAACATCACCGACTGAACCGATTAGCGGCTATTTAACAGCCAGTGTATCAGATCGGATGCTGAGATTTCCAAGGTCGATGCACAAGCGGTCACAGGTCGGCCAGGTATCTGTTTGTCCTGACCTCACCAACCCTGGCACAAGGGCGCCTGCCCTATGGCAAGGGTGATAATAAGGACTTTTTGGAAGGCGAAACGTATTGGTCTTCAATATAGGACGGTCGCCTGGATGGCTCGCAAGACCGAAGAGATTCGGGGATACGCCGACCGAAATGAATTAGAAAACTCCTTCGCAGCAATCGTGATAAAATAATTTCTGTGATCTACTTGTGACAGCATTTCGCGTCTTAGATGACATCACGGTGATCAACTGGTTCGGGTTGAGACCTCGTGCGTGCAGCGTTGTATCGGGCTGTCGCTAGGCAATGACAAAACCCGAGCACAAATAACTTCATATCGATTAATTTCTATCCCCTAGTGGTTGATTAGTAATCAGATATGCTAATGAGGTGATACCACGCATATGTATGGAGGAGGTCAATGTGTAGAATGTTTCATGGAAATTCGTGCCAGCTTTCAGGCCTTTCAGGTGGGTGAAATACAAGACAAAATTCCCAACTGTCAAAGCACCAATCATATCGATCACTCAATTCCACTGTTGTGACTCGGATACTTCTCCGTTTTCAGTGTGAGTTTATTGTGTAGTAGTTTTGTCTGGACAGAGCGAGGTTTCTTCCGTTTTCTTACGTGACGTTTTACAGTCTGGGGATAGGTTCAGAACAGTAAGAAAACGGGCTTTAACAGAACTGTCGTCCCTTTCTCTCGAGGTAAGTATATGACGAGGTTCTGCGCGACTTCCAATGCCTTTCCAGCGTTTTAGGCAAAATTACAATTTACGACTGGCAATCCCGAGTAAACGGTATACGGACTGGATACTCATCTGTTAAGTGTCAGCCGAAACTCGCAAAACGCCATCCAGTGAGACACTGTTAAACTATAAAATGGCTACTATTTTGATTTCAATAACACATTTTATTTAAAAGTCAATTTGACAAACACGTGTTATCGGTAACTCTCATAAGGCCCAAAACGGTTACATAGAAGTTTAAAAGTATGCGAAGCTACAGGGCTTATAAGTGATTCAGGAACTATTCACACCCATCGTTCCCATGCCAATCATCGTTCCCACCCACTCGCATGACGAGGCGTGCTATGGCGTGGTCGGGGCGTCGTGGTCATTGGGTCAAGGGGCGAGGGAGAGGGGGACATAGGCTGTGAGTAATGTTTTTACGTCGGGTACGTTGTGCACGCACCACTGCCATCAGGAGGTTGGTTTGGCGTTGGCCACGGAAGACAGAGCGCCTGTGCCAGAGTCTTCTGACAGCATAGCACTGGATTGGCTAGCCGTATAGCCACTGCCTCGGCTGTAGCTAGCACCCGTTGGCGTAGGCCTCTGGAGAAGCTTGCTGGTGTCCTGTAGACAATCTGATAGGGTCCTTTGGCATCGACTGGGTGATTCGTATCGACACGATGTGCGAGGATATAACTCGAGATCGATCTCTTTTCACCTCTGCCTAGTCAGGCCAGCATGGGTTCGCGTACTCACAAACCCAGGCGCCTCGTTGTACGGCCAATGTATCCCGCTCCACAGGAGCAAGTGACTGAGTAAATACACATCGATGTGGCCTGCAACGAGAGTCGGTCTTTACCTCCCAAGCGTAGGAGGGGAGAGTTAGTGAAATATGCACGTAAGTTAGCCGCGGGAAAAGCGCTAGTGATCGCTGTCTTCCGATGTCGTCTCTACAGTACGCTAGCACCCTTTTGAACGGAATTAAATTGTCAATTTCACTTACGAACGACTATGATGCAAACTGTTGCACTTTACGACCAATATGTCGTATTTGTGATCGTTCTGTGTTGACTCTATCAAATATTCTTCAACAACGGCCTATTCATCGGAGAAAACACCGTTGTGGCTGGCAATTCGCATTCAAACGTCAGCCGAATCACAAATTGTCAATTCCTGCCTTCTTGT